AAAAATTTTCTTTCCAAAGCATAAAATGACAATAACTTCATAAACAAAAAACAGCTATAAATCTCTCCACAAAAACCAAAAGAGAAGAAACTTTATTTACAACCCTTCCACACCCAAACCAATATGACTCATGCCATTAACAAACGTGTTTTGCATCAAAATTTGTGACCAAATCGACCAGATTCGTTCTCAACCCAGCAATAAATCAAAAATCAACCGAAAAATTGCGTCACAATGACATGTTTTGCGAACGTTTTTGTCAACAATCACCAAAAGAGGGATAACATCAGCGCGTTCGCTTAAAGAAGAGCTACCCTCGTTTAGTGCCTCCTCAAGATGACAGGTTGTTTTTGCAGTAGAATGCGGTCAATGTTGACAAATCTACTATTGTTGGTAAGAGTTTATGGCTCTGGGATTGGATAAGAACGTTGAAAAAAGAAAAATTAAATTTAAAAAATTGTCAGTTTAAAATACTAATAGTAAATTTAAAAAAATATTAATCAAAGCAAAAGTTTTGTAAAATTATAGATTATTTTAGGTTATTCACATAATTCTGCGTCCCGTACCCCACAAAGTTGCTTTGAGAAGGAGCGCAGAACTAAGTAAACAACATAATATATAACATTCAGACCAAAAATACTGGCAGAAAAATTTCAAAAATGATCCTAGCTTTAGTCTTAGCCTTAGCGTTGATAGCCTTGGCCTTAGTTTTGGCAGCCTTAGCTTTAGCGTTAGCTTTAGCCTTAACTTTAGCCTTAGCCTTAGCTTTAGCCTTAGCCTTAGAGTCTTAGTTGTAATCTTAAGTCCAGCCCCATTCCCAACCTCAGACTCAGCCCTAGCCATGATCCTAGCTTTAGCGTTAATGTACAATTCTACCTCGGCCTAACCCTAGCATTAAAATAGCTGTACTTTATTTTGCGATGCCTTATCCTAACCTTAGTTCAGCCTAATATTTTTCTTGAACATAAAGAAGGCGTGTCAAAATAAAAAAGCATTTTTTCAACTTTTTAGAAATTCAAAAAGTCCATATAACCACCCCTTATCACCCCAAACCGCCCTATACATTCAACTTTCACTCGATTCCGTTGCCCAAATCAGCGGCATCGAAATTAAGCGGCAATCATGTGAATAATTAACTCGCAAAAACCGCGATGATGAAGATATATATGCGGCGTTCAGATCGAATCTCACAAAAATACACACACAGATCGTGAAACCAGATTCGTTGGTTGGCGGAGGAGAAGATCCGCCACACAACTGTTTTGACACATCAAACAAACAACTGTAATATAAGTTTGGAATCCTGTTAAAATGCAACAATACGTTAGACTAGTGTAACGTAAAACTAGAGCTAAGACTAGAACTAGAGCTAGGGCTAAGACTAAAAAGACTGTTTTGGGGCATGGGTAGGGCAAAGAATAGAAAAAGCTACGGCTAAAGATAGGCATAAGGCTAGGGTTAAACCAGAACTAGGATTTCAAATAGAGCTACGGCTAAGGCTAATTCTAGGGTTAGCGCTCCGGACTAGGGCTCTGGGCTAAGCTAGGGTTTCGGGCCAGGGATTTAGGCTAAAACTTTAAACTAGGGCTTTGAGCTAGGGGCTAAGCTACGGCTTTGGCTAAGACTCTAAGCTAGAACTCTAAGCTAGGGCTCTAGGCTAGGGCTCTGGGCTAGGGCTCTGGGCTAGGGCTCTGGGCTGGAACTCTGGGCTAGGGCTAGGGCTTTGGGCTAGGGCTCTGGGCTAGAGCTCTCTGCTAGGGTTCTGGCTAGGACTAGAGCTAGGACTAGCTATAGTAATAAAGTTTTACTGTCCAGTAACCAAAAAGTATTTTACAAAGTTAAGGTAATGAAATCACTATAACCAAACATAATTTGGTCTTTAAGAAAAATGATGACAAAACGATTTAACGAACAACTTGGGCGGTAAAAACAAAGAAAGTTTTTGAGAATTAAATTAGAAAGAAACCAATTTGACCCCGATTCAGCGCAAAAATCAAGAAAAACACTTACACTTCGATGGCTACTAAAAATTTCTCAATGAACTATAACATATTTTTACTGCGGTTTCGGACAAAAAAACCATTTTTAAGTTAAAAAACATTTAAAAGTCCTAAATTGCCCAAAGGAATTCAAAAATATAAATCACTTTAAACTCAAAAACTCAAATTTTCAAAATTTAAAAAAATTTCAAAAAATTGTCGTATAAAACCACGTATGACGTGTCGTATAAAACCACGGATGACCGTCTTTATTACCTAAAATATGAAACCAGGATATCACTTTTGTAAAAAGGATAAAGTATTTATAATGTTGCAAATCAAAGAACGTTTTTCATCGCGTAACTGCAAGAAATGACCAGTCTTTTCTCAAAAATACCACGACGTACGGATTAAATGTCATCACATAAACGTTTCGTAATAACTAAACTAACTGAAACTTTGTTTCTAGATTGTTATGAAAACTAAAACTAACCAAAAATTTTTGATTTAGGTTATAGTAGACTACTGAAAAGCTAAAGAAGGGCTAGAAATATATGCAAAGTTAGAAAAAACTAGTAAAATACGGCTAAAGTAAAGTTAAGAAATGACTAATAAATTGCAAGGTATTGCACAGCTAAAAAAACCAATAACTTAAAACTAAGGTAAAAGTAAAAAAAGATAAAGTAAAACTCAAGTAAAGATAGAGTAGAGCTAGAGGAGGAAAAGCGTGAACCTACAGTAAAACTCAGAAATAGATACGGTATGGCGTTGTAACAGCAGGATAAGCTAATAGAATAAGGCTACAGTAAAAATAAGAAATGGCTAGGGTATAACAGTTTTAAGCTAATAAGGTCAAACTAAAGTAGAGCTCGAGCAGAAGGCTAAGCATACAGTATTGAAGAGCAGGACCCAAAGACATAGTTAGAAATGTGTGGATTCAAAAACTTGACAGCCGACCCTTTACAGGTCTAAGCTAGGCCTGCAAAGAGACCTGGCTCACTTTTATTGCCTGTCCAAGCTTTGGCTTGGGCCTCCAGCCTCTGTCTGCCTGCCCGATCCCTTTCAACTTTGTTTCTGGCTCGGCCGGAGCCGGTTTAGGCCTGACTATTACATTAGACCTTTCAGTTTTTTCCTAGCTTTTTCTTAGCTTAATAAGCCTATTATAACAAGTCCGCAGGGAGGCATGTAAACCAAAAAAAATTTTTTTGGGTCTCCACCCTCTCCCTCCCCCCCCAGAGAAAAATGGTAAAAAAAGTCCAGTCTACAGTCAATAACAATTCATTATTGCACTCACATCCAAAGTTAAGTTCAAACCCATCACTACCCTAACTTTCCCCACCACAGTCCAGTCCACCCCAAACCGTCAACTCGGCCCACTCCCGTCTTTGACAGTTTCGAAAATCCTACGCTCTTAATTACCGCTCGGGAAGGGTAAAAGCGAAAGACCAGGGGGATGATTAGCCGCAAAAAGTTCTGACGTGTTCGAAAAGACGAAGCACCGAGCTTCTCATTCATTTCACGCGCAGGCATGGCCACTGATCTCTAGGGTCAGGTCAGGGGTGGGGGGAAGACGGTTCTTTGCGCGCTTCGAAACCCCCCATAATATTTCTTGGCCAAGAGCGGGAAATGAATGAGCAAGAGTTTGTTATGAGAAGGGACAGTCTCGAACAACTCGCTTGATAACAGTAACATTTGGTAGTTGTAGTACTATAGACTAGTCTAAAGAGGGCAATAAGGTTAAGGCTAAGCTAAGACTATGACTAGAGTTAAGCTTGGCTAGGCTAAGCTAGGCTGGGCTGGGATGGACTGGTTTGGACTAGACTGGGCTGTGGCTGAGTTAGGGCTTGTGCTAAGAATGTTTAAAGCTAGGGCATGGGCAAGTCCTCATGAAAAGAAAAAAAACAAAATTTTAAAAGAGGGGGGGGATATTTCACAAAATATAAAAAAAAATATTTTTTTGAAAAAAAAATTATTTTTCCACCCCCTTCCCTTCGAAAAATCACCCTGCCCTTTTTCCCAGCAAAAATGGGAAAGAGGAGGTGATTTAACACGCCCAAAGTTTTCCTAGCAAATCGACCGTTTTCTACAAACTTTTTGACCAAAAAATCCAATTTTCCACAAACATATTGACCGCAAAATACAAAAATAAGATTAACACCCTTAAATTATTAGCTCACGATAACTGTTTGGTCGATTAAACGGTAATTGCGCGAAACGCCGATTAGTTGTTGTTAAGAAGAGCGAAAGGTCAGCCGAGACGAAACAATGGACAGTGTATCGAATTCGAGCATGAGCAACCGCCGTCGGAACGTCACGAATAATGCACACCCAGCTTCAAATTCAAACGTCCGCGTTTTTTGTTTTTGCAAGTGTAGCTTGTAGTGATAGGGGGGGGGGGGATGAAGGGAGAAGTAAAAGGAGAGTACGGCTAAAGTGAAAAAAATAAAGTTAGGTCGATAAAGGTACCGTAGGGAAGGGTAGGTATAGACGTAGGGTAAAGAGTCAAAACTCTTATCATGATAGAGGCGGGATTAGGGTATACTGTCGAGTACAGAAGGGTATGCTTTACGGTAGAGAAGAGCTTACTGTCAGCTAGGAGAATATGGTTTCGGGAGTAAGGGTAGGGGTAATGGTAAGGATGAGGGCATGGGTAGGAGCAGTTTTAGGGGCAACGTTAGCGATAGGAGGAAGGAGAGGAGTAGGGGGAGGGAGGGGGGGGGGTATTGAGATAGAGGGTATGGAGTAGAGGGTAGAGAGTAGGGGTAGGGAGTAGACATGATTAACAAGCCGGGCCTGACCAAAATTTAGGTCGGGCCGGGCCTGAGCAAAACTTTGATCGAGCCGGGGCCAACATTCAGGCCCGTTCCTCATGTGCAGGAGGTGACAGCAGAAGTAGCAACCAGCTCCTACTCTCCCCACCCCATTAATCAGAAACCATCCCCATTATCAAAAATCCACCCCCAAGGCCAATAAACCCTTTAATTTAACAAAACATAACCGTATACAACTGTAATATCATTTTCAAACTTTTAGTTTGTCTTTTATGGCTTCACCCGACTCCACATCACCTTTGTTTATGCCACTCGAGCCAGGTTGATCACCATCATCTTCCTCATCATCATCATCGTCGTCCAAGTCACTTGGGAGGTCTTCTTCAGCATTGAAGACGCTTTCATCGAATACCAATGGTTTGGTGTCTTCTTTCTTCTCTTCTGCCGGCTTTTGTGAGCTTTGAGGCTCTTCCAGATCATCATCCAGGTAGGCACCTTCTTCTCCGATGTTGTAGAAGGTGCGCTCGTCGATGGCAAACACTTTTTCTTCTGGGTCCTAAAGGTAAAATGGTATAAAATACCCAAAACATTATTAAAAAATGAAAAATAAGGAAAGTTACATACCAAAAAAGGTATGAATATCAATGATAATATAATTCTTCAAACTTTTTCGCAAAAAAATAAATACAAAATGCATTTTTTAAATTTAAAAACAAATCAAAAAAATTTTAAATCCGCCCCAAAACCCTATTTACCCCTTCCTTACCTCAGTCTTTTCCCTTTCAATATCATCAGCATCTTCATCATCATCACCTCCAGCTTGTGGATCATAGGTGAACAACTCACGACCACTCAGTCCAGTCTTTTGGCCGCTCTTGAAGCTGGCCTTCTTTCTCTTCTCTTCGGCCGCTGCCGCTTCCTTACGTTCACGGAGCTTCTTCTTCTTCCAGGCAATGAAGGATTCTAATGTCACTTTAGTCTGGGGTTTACCTGCTAATTGGGCTCGCTAAAAATTGAGTATTTTATTAATAAAACGCTACTTTTTCATATTATAGTAGATAGCATGAACGAAAAAATGAATGAAAGACAACTTTTTTATATTATAGTAGATTACATAGACAAAAAAAGTATAAAACAAAGTCTCTCAAAGTTTTTGAGCAAAAATTTGTCAGCCTATACCTGATCCAAATCAAAACCTACCTCTTTTTCAATCAATTCCTCCAAACTGATCTGTTCCAATCGCTTCATTTCCTCCATTTTCTTCCTGTCCTTCTTCAAAATGTAACCCTCAGGCAATGCGTGCCGATAAATACACTTCTCACCATTAGGACACTCCCAAAACCATCCGTATTTGGCTTCTTCCACGGCTTCCAAGAAGTATTTGCACACGATCGTCGTCTGATTTGGCCGTTTCCGATCCTTCTCACCGTGCTTCTTTTCGGCTACATCGTTCAATTGCTTCTCATCCCAATTCTCATTGGTTTCTTCTTCTTCGTCCTTCTTAATATCTCTACTGTCAACGAACAAGTTCCTCTTGGCAGTCTTCTGTTGAACAGCCAGATCGTGGCTGAACTTGCACTTCTTGCCTTTTGTGCACATTCCTTGCTTGAAGAAAACGCATAACACTGACTTTGGATCAACATCTAAAAGAATATAACTTATATTAAAATATATTACCAAAAAATACAAACTAAGCCGAAAATTAGAAGTAAACTGATCAAAAATAGCTTTAACATCACACAGTATGACCAATATCACAAAAAATTAACAAAACTCAAAAACAAAGATAAAAAAAAAAAGTTATATAAACAAAAATAAACTAAATACCCTCCAAAAAAATTAAAAGCTAAAAGAAATTCCCAAAGAGCACCACCTTATGCTACTTTCCATCGTCAGATCTCAATAAAATTAAACTTACCAGCCGCAACCTTTGGCATACTCTGCACAGGCTTGAAGATCTTGCTCAAATCCTTCAAATCATCAGCCTCGTCCTTCTTTTTCTTCTGTTGTTGTTGACGAGGATCTTGGCCTTTAACCTAAATACCAAAATCAACTTAAGAAACACAAAACCCACCTGGTTCTCCAAGTTTTTAATAAACTTCTGCATCTTGGCACCCTTCTTATTCTTCAAACCAAAGGTCATGTCCTCGACCTTCTTGGCCATCTTCTTCTGATGCTCCTTCGTGTTTTTGGGCTGATTTTTCGGCGGCATTTTGTCTCTAAAGTAATATAATTAAAATAACCATTAAGATGATAAGAAAAAATATAAAGAATAAAACATTTCACAAAAAATTGATTAAAAAAGTAAACAGATCACGAATTTTTATGATGGTAAACCAAAAGAGGGTTCATCAGTTTCCTAACATTCGCAAAAAAATTATTTTGATCTATCCGAGTCGCTTCCTAGCTTCTGCAGTCTGCGCAGACTTTTTATTCTTTGTAAATTTGGATTTAGTTGGGCGCGGCTGAAACGTCCGTATTTGTGCCATTTTTCGATAAACTGATATTTTGTAGATCAAGATGTGTTGATTGCTTTTAGATGACCAAAATGTTCGATCGTGTGCGAAGCCAAAGCACCAGCAGAGATGCTGAAGCGCCTGGAGTGCAAAGCGTCGAAGGAGATGTGAGTTCTCTTGTTGTTTTAGCTCATATATAAGTTTGGTAAGCTTGGTATTAGTTTTTAGAATAGTGTTTAAAGATATTCATGTTGTTTGCTTTCAGTCACAGCGTATAACGGATTTAAGTTGGGAGCTGCGAGTATATTGCTTTATTGGTTGCTTCGTTTTATCCATGGTCTGCAGTTTGTTGGTAAGTTTTTAATAATTTTATTATTTGGTGTTTAGATGGGATGTAGTAGAAGAATATACTCTAATTATACGACAATATGCTTGTAGAGAAGGTTGTGAACAAGTTGAAATACTCTGATTTTGTTGAAGAATAGTGAATAATGTTCGTTTTCAGGGTTCTCCGTTCGTTTTTGCTGGAAAATTGACCGAATTTGCTGTGATGGTATCTTTGGGTAGTATGATTTCCATAGGAGGGTCAGTTTATCCGTTTTATTATCTATTTACAACTATTCAGATATAAATATACGACATCTGATGTTTTATATAATTTTAAAAGTAAATCTTCAAATTTAGGGCGTTGAATGCCATTTTTAGTTGTCATAACCTATACTTTAACAAATATAGCCCTATAAAATTCATATTTCAGGACCTTCTTTCTGTCAGGACCTCTAAACCAGCTCAAGAAGATGTTTGAGCCAACCAGGCTTGTGGCTACCTTAATATACATCTTGATGATCATCCTTACTTTGATTACGGGACTACTGTTAAGGAATGGTGTTCTAGCCGTTATCTGTATATTGGGACAGTATTTGAGTATGGGTTGGTACTCGTTGTCATATATACCATACGCCAGGGAGGTTCTTTGGTCATTCTTCAACAGATGCTTTTAATTTATTAACTTATATTGTTCCTAAAGGTTGTATTACTTAGCAATGAATGTTCTACTTATGTATAAAGTTGATATTTTATGGTTGTATTTGTGGATTAATAAATATTATAAAAATGTTTCAATATTGGTATGTTTGGACAGTTTTGGCTGAAACTACACAGTAAAAAACAGTCAAATCAAAAATAAGATAATATGCTTTTCAGATTATACTCAAAAATAGAAATATACAGTTTATTACAGTAATAATTAGCCTATACATCACCTATTCGCCCCGTTTTTTGTAACTGGCAGCTGATGGTTCCTTCACAGCTTCCAACCATCGCCATTCTTCACGTATCTCCAGAGGATTATGCTCACCAGTAGCACGACGTTCCTCATCTCGAGCTCTCATCTTTTCCTCAATGTCACCATGAAGGATTCGAGAGAAGTAGTCTAGCTGAAAATAGCTTTATACATTAACATAAACACATCAATATAAACCTTTAAAGTATCAAAAAACTCAAAATTTTTAATGAAACAGTACAATATTCATTTTTAAAACAATAAAACAAGATTTTTCAAAAATGTGGGAAGCATTTGACCCCCAATAAGTATACAATATATTGGGAAACACTTTCTTCACTACAATATTGCAACGGTTTAGATGTTTACGGTAACCAAAAGTTCAGTAAACAGTCAAATAAACCGTTGCGTTCGTTGCGAATCGAACCCGTGACCTTCCAACTACACAATCGGTCTCTTAGCCACTGCGCTATTGACGCTTCATTGAAAAAAGCGCTTAAAACTCCCCAAACGAAAAGATAGGTTAAAAAATCATCCGCAAGAGTAATATTAAGGAAATTGCTTCAAATTTGAGAGTATGTTCACATTGATTTTAAGTAACTTCAAAATTTTTCAGTTTAAAAAATTAAATTATAATCAAAAAGAACTTACGGCCAAATTGTCGTCCTTTTGACCTCGCATATCACGTTGACGAAGATACGTACGTGCAATTTCGTCTTTGGCTATCAACTTGCTTATTCTTTTCTCTTCTTTGACTATCAAGTACCTAAATTTAAAAGAATAAGACCTTCTGAACTTGAAAAACAGATAGTACATGTATACTTCGAAGGGCAATAATAATATTATGTTGTTATGCTTCAAAACAATTAGGTAAAGATATTTTGGCATATATATATGAACGAACAATAATAGCATAATAAGGCTTACCATAGAAACATATTGTAAGCCACAATAAACCCACAAGCTGCGGCTGTAATTCGCATCAAGTTCTTCCAGCTTCGCTTTCTTTCTTCATGTCGTTCCCTCATGGTTCTGAACTGCATATCATCTCCACCATAACGTTGTTTCCAGTATTGTTGCCAGTCAACGCTAAAAGTATAACTTTCAATCTGATTATTACCCAAAAAAACTTATTTTACATTAAACTTTCAAATTATAAACTAAAACCGAAATATTTATAAAAAACTAGTTAATAATAGAAGCATAACTCAACTTATAACACAACCAGAAAGCTAATCTATCATAACATAGCAATTAAACTCCAGATAAAGCATCTTACTTCGCATAATCGGCCCTAGCCCGATCTGAACCATAAGAACGGTGGGATTTCGGCTGGGCAAGATTGAAATCATAAAGTTTTCGATCAGCTGGACGTCTCAGAACATCGTACGCTACCTTCAACTCCATAAAATCCTTCGTATCACCATCATTTCGATCCGGATGAAGCTGCTTTGACTTCTCAAAGTATGCCACCTTGATCTCATGAAGTGTCGCATTCTTTCCAACTCCAAGAACATCATAATGAGTTTTCCGTCTCCTAAACACAAAAACAATAATAACATCGTCGAAAGACGTAAAAGAACTTACAAAATCTAAGCTGCATAAAGCTGTATTCTCACAAAAACTCAAATATAACTCACGTGGCGCTGATGTGCAAGAAAGAACGACTCTTCAGTTGTGTGACAACCGAATGTCGTAGTAGAGACAAATCCATCTGATCATTAAAACAGTTTTTGTACCCAAAATCCCTTTAATCACTCCATAAACAATATGTTATATTGTTTTTGTTCGTTATTTACATTTTGTCAATTTTTCTTTAAAAATTTAGAAAATAAAAATAAAATTCGATACCACGTAAACAAAGCGCCACAATTGATTGAATTGAACAGATAATTACAAATCTTGCTCAAATTAGTTCAAGTTTAGCCTAAAGCTTAGGCTTAGGCGTGAGCTTGAGCTGCTGCTTAGCTTTAGGCTTGAACTTAGGCTTTTGCTTGGTCTTAAGCTTAGACTATTGCTTTAGCTTAGGCTTGGGCTTCTGCTTAGGCTTGTGCTTTGGCTGCTGCTTAGGTTTAGGCTTGAACTTATTCTTTTGCTTGGTCTTAAGCTTATGCTATTGTTTTAGCTTAGACTTGGGCTTAGGCTTCTGCTTAGGCTTTTGCAAGGGTGTAGGCTTATGCTTATGCGTAGGCTTACGCTTGGGCTCTGGCTTAGGCGTGAGCTTGGGCTGCTGCTTAGGTATAGGCTTGAACTTAGGCTTTTGCTTGGTCTTAAGCTTAAGCTATTGCTTTAGCTTAGGCTTGGGCTTCTGCTTAGGCTTGTGCTTTGGCTGCTGCTTAGGTTTAGGCTTGAACTTAGGCTTTTGCTTGGTCTTAAGCTTAAGCTATTGTTTTAGCTTAGGCTTGGTCTTTTGCTTAGGCTTTTGCAATAGTGTAGGCTTACGCTTGGGCTCTGGCTTAGGCGTGAGCTTGGGCTGCTGCTTAGGTATAGGCTTGAACTTAGGCTTTTGCTTGGTCTTAAGCTTAAGCTATTGCTTTAGCTTAGACTTGGCCTTGAGCTTAGGCTTAGACTTAGGCTTAGACTTTTTCAAGGGTGTAGGCTTACGCTCAGGCTCTGGCTTAGGCTTGAGCTTTGGCTGCTGCTTAGGTTTAAGCTTCCGATGGGGCTTAAGCTTTTGCTATGTCTTAAATTTAGGTTTAGGCCTATTGCTTTAGCTTAGGCTTTTGCAAGAGTGTAGGCTTATGCTTATGCGTAGGCTTACGCTCGGGCTTTGGCTTAGGCGTGAGCTTAAGCTGCTGCTTAGGTTTAGGCTTGAACTTACGCTTTTGCTTGGTCTTAAGCTTAATCTATTGCTTTAGCTTAGGCTTGGATTTAGGCTGCTGCTTAGATTTTTGCAAGGGTGTAGGCTTAGGTTTATGCGTAAGCTTACGCACGGGCTCTGACTTAGGCTTGAGCTTTGGCTACTGCTTAGGTTTAGGCTTGTGTTTAGGCTTTTGTTTGGCCTTAAGCTTAGGCTATTGCTTTAGCTTAGGCTTTAGCTTTGGCTACAGCTTATGCTTTTGTTTGAATTTAGGCTTATGCGTTGGCTTACGCTCAGGCTTTAAATTTTTGCTTAGGTTTGGTCTTCTGCTTAGGCTTTTGCAAAAGTGTAGTCTTATGCTTATGCGTAGGCTTACGCTCGGGCTCTGGCTCTGGCGCTGGCTTAGGCTTTTGCAAGGGTGTAGGAATAAGCTAATGCGTAGGCTTGGGCTTCTCTTTAGACTTCCTTAAAAGCTTAGGTTGACGCTTACGCTTAGTCTTGAGCTTTGGCTACTGCTTAGGTTTAGGCTTGTACTTAGGCTTTTGCTTGGTCTTAAGCTTAAGCTATTGTTTTAGCTTAGGCTTGGTCTTTTGCTTAGGCTTTTGCAATAGTGTAGGCTTACGCTTATGCGTAGGCTTTTGCTTGGTCTTAAGCTTAGGTTATTGTTTTACCTTAAGCTTAGGCTTATGTTTAGGCTTAATGTTGAGCTTTAGCTGCTGCTTAGGTTTAAAATTGAACTTAACTTTTGCTTGGTCTTAAGCTTAGGATATTGCTTTAGCTTAGGATTGGGCTTCACCGATCATAAATTGTAATTGTATAGCGTAGAAAATATGTTAATAAACCTTAAAAAAACCTTAGGATTGGGCTTAGGTTTAGGATTAGGTTTAGGCTTAGCCTAGGCTCACGCCTGGGTTCTGGCTTAGGCTTTTACTTGGTCTTAGGCTTAAGCTTTGGCTTAGGACGTTTAGCTTAAAGCTTGGGTTTAGGCTTGTATTTTGGCTGAGGCTGGGACATAGGCCTCCGTTTAGGCTTAGGAGTAGTCTTACTCTTAGGCTGCGGTTTTGAATTAGGCTTTTGCTTGAACTTTTGGGCTTGGACTTTCGTATTCTGAAGTCCAAGTCTAGTCCAAAGTCTAAGCCTGTCCTATCTCGCACTAAAAATCCAACCATACTTTACAATATATAAAAGTTAGCGTTCTCTACTGTAAGAGTACGACAAAAGTCAGGTATATAAAAGTAGTTGTTGATTGTATTCAATGAGTCACAACTGGTCTTAATTACCAATGGCAGAAACATAAGCAGTCAGGTAACAATGAGCTCTAAACTGAACACTTGATTACACTACCTTACAATATATATTTAAAATGAAAGTAGGCAATCTCTGTTATAAAAATAATATAAAACTCTTATAAAAAGTAATAGCGTTTTTTAGAAAAATGAAGTTCAATGTATTTTGTACTGTGCTGTTGTGTAAGTTTTATAAGACAACTTAATGAAATAAATTATATAGTTATTCTAGAGTTATATTGTAATATTTTATGTAGCTTATGTTATCTGTTTTTATTCGTTATGTAAGACGTATTTTTCCAAACCTTGTCAACCAAGTTACAAAGCATCGTATCTTCTCCTATATATAACAAGACTGAATTTTGTAACTTAAATGTATATTGATAAACATACGGTGTGTTATTACAATATATATACAGTAAACAAAAGCTCGTCTTCTTTTCTACACGTTACATCAAGATTTAAAACATATACTACCCATTGTTATTCAGAACAACATGTTAAATCTGAATTCAACCATAAAGTAAGAAGACATCTTTGGAGTAGAAGTTTGGCCTACAGTAACCTAAATGCTGATTGGTTAATATAGCAGATGCTTGGTATTAAATATATCAAAATTGAGTTGTATGTATGAATAGAAAGTTTTGAAATGTTGAAAATCATCATCAGTCTAAGCCATAAAGAGAAAAGCACAAATGGGCTGCCCATACCTAGGGGCGATTTTTTTTGGGCGATTTCCTCAAGGGCGATTTCTTTATGGGCGATCCAAAATATTTTTAAAAAAATACCCTTTTGGCCTTACCTGACCCCATTCCTGACCTTTTAGGCCCTACCTGACCCTACCCTTGACCTTTTTGGTCCAACCTGACCCAACCCCTGACCCTTTTGGCCCTACTTGACCCAACCCCTGACCCTTTTGGCCCTACCTGACCCAACCCCTGACCCTTTTGGCCCTACTTGACCCAACCCCTGACCCTTTTGGCCCTACCCAACCCCTGCCCCTGACCTTTTTGGTCCAACCTGACCCTACCCCTGACCTTTTTGGCCTTAGTTGACCCAACCCCTGACCCTTTTGGCCCTACTTGACCCAACCCCTGACCCTTTTGGCCCTACCCAACCCTGCCCCTGACCTTTTTGGTCCAACCTGACCCTACCCCTGACCTTTTTGGCCTTACTTGACCCAACCCCTGACCCTTTTGGCCCTACTTGACCCAACCCCTGACCCTTTTGGCCCTACCCAACCCTGCCCCTGACCTTTTTGGCCTTAGTTGACCCAACCCCTGACCCTTTTGGCCCTACCCAACCCTGCCCCTGACCTTTTTGGTCCAACCTGACCCTACCCCTGACCTTTTTGGCCTTACTTGACCCAACCCCTGGCCCTTTTGGCCCTACTTGACCCAACCCCTGACCCTTTTGGCCCTACCCAACCCTGCCCCTGACCTTTTTGGTCCAACCTGACCCTGCCCCTGACCTTTTTGGTCCAACCTGACCCTACCCCTGACCTTTTTGGCCTTAGTTGACCCAACCCCTGACCCTTTTGGCCCTACCTGACCCTACCCCTGACCTTTTTGGTCCAACCTGACCCTACCCCTGACCTTTTTGGCCTTAGTTGACCCAACCCCTGACCCTTTAGGCCCTACCCAACCTCACCCCTGACCTTTCTAACCCTACCTGACCCTACCCCTGACCTTTCTAGCCTTACCCAACCTCACCCCTGACCCTATTTGCCCTACCCAACCCTACCCCTGACCTTTCTGGCCCTACCCAACCTTATCCCTGACCCTATTATACCCAACCTCACCCCTGACCCGTTTACCCCTATCTGACCCCATCCCTGACCTTTCTAGCCCTTCCCAACCTCACCCCTGACCCTTTTACCCCTATCTGACTCCATCCCTGACCTTTCTAGCCCTACCCAACCTCACCCCTGACCCTTTTACCCCTATCTGACCCCACCCCTGACCTTTCTAGTCCTACCCAACCTCACCCCTGACCCTATTAGCCCTACCCAACCCATTTCAGTCCTACCCGACCCTACCACTGACCATTTTAAATTGACCCTACCATACCATAACCCATGCTAGCTTCTATATACTACTCATCCTACTTGACATACCATAGCCTATCCTACTTACTATGCTATACTCCTATCATACTCTATATTACCTACCATTCCATACCATACTATACTATACTATCTCATACCATGCCATACCCTACCATACTTTATACTACCTACTATATTTTACCATATCATACTCTATATTAACTACCCTTCTCTACCATACTAAACCAAGATATAACATATCATATTATACCCTAACATACGCTACACTACCTACTGTGCCATATCTACCATACCATACTATACCCTATACCAGATCATATTTGACGAGTGATGTACACTTCGCGGGTGGACACTTCGCGGGGGCACCCGCGAGTTGGGATGTCCCACTTCGCGGGAACCAACGAAGTGTCCATAAAGTATGGACACTTTTCGGGTGGAGATATATAGTAACTACTATGGAGTTGGCAATATTTATGTAAACTGTCAATATTACTAGGGTCTTTTAAGCCTAAAGTAAAATCAAAATAATAGAAAAAAATGTTTTTGTTAAATTTGTTTTT